GTGTGTGTGTGTTGCCGCAGCGTTGGTCCCCACGCGGTGGCCTTGCATGCCGCAATGAAGCCCTGTCCCCTCAGATGTCGTCTTCCTCGTCGTGGTCATGACTTAACCCTGGTTCTGCCATGTGTCGATCCAGCTCACCGAGCGTCTCCCTCATTGTCACGCTCTACCGTGTGTGCATGTGTGACATAGATATACACACGTGTACACGTGTGTGCGGGTAGGACGCGTGTGCATGTGTGTTTCATACAGGTATGCGTGTGTGTGGAAACATACACATATGCATAAATACATCAGCACACATGCACATGTCATTTGTGGAAGATAGATCGTGGACCGTCTCCACAGAGGTTTTGAAGCTCTCTCCTGGGAGAGAGTTTTGTCTTCAGGAAACGACTCCTGGGGTGTAAAGGCTGGCAAATCCCGAGTCTGTGGACCAAGTGTCAGGCTGGGGGCTTCTCCCAACTTCTCGAGCTCCAGGGGCTGACGAATCCAAGACGAGTACATCAGATGACAGGCTGCTGGCCCACAGGCTGCAGAGGACGATGAACCCCAAGCACTTACGGTCAGATGATGCAGGATCCGGAAGGAGAGAGCTTTTCCTGAACACACACACACACACATTGTATGCAGGTCACACCCCTGAGGAAACTCTGGTCACAATGAATCTGCGGATTGCATCATTATATATTGCACCACATTACATCACTATCAAACCACTGAGACTCATGGCCCAGCCAAGTTGCTACACAACTGTAACCATCACAGTGGTCTTGGACCAATCTCTCTGCTGTAAGAGGGCCCAGTTCCTGCCCACAAGGTGCTGCCGAGCTGACGTTGGGCACACCTGTTCCGAACACCTGGGAAGGCCCTTGGTAAGCTGGGTCATTGCACAAACCACACATGTTCCTTCTCTTGCTCAACCATCAGATCAGTTTTGTCCTTCCAACCCAGAACTCATCCTGCAGAAAAAACAAAAGTCCGGACACGGTCACCCGGTGACCTGGTCCAGCCCACAGAGATCAGATGGCCCAGAGGTGATGAAATCTGACTCAACTACTTACCTTCTGGGGACCTGGAGCCACGGAGCCTGTGACCCCTCGGTCCCGCATTTGTCCGGTGGGCATAATGAGAAGAGTGCCTGCCGGGAGGAGCGCTGTCAGGTGACAGGAGATGGTCTCCGTCGGGTGTGCTTGGAGTGCTGCCCAGCAGACAGACAGAGTTCAATCAGGGGAGGAAGTGGGGGGCTGTTAGCATTGCTCCAGTCTAAGTGAAGCCCGAAGATCTGTCTCTCCGGCCCTCTTCCACGGGGCAGGTGCTGCTGGACCCCGGGGCCTGGAGTGGTTCGAACTCAAACTCACGGTCATCGAGTTGATGCCGACTCACAGCAACCCTACAGGACAGGGTAGCATGGCTCCGTGAGTTTCTGAGACAATCACTCTTGATGAGAGGAGAAGCCTCTTTCTCCCGAGGAGCGGCTGATGGTTTTGAACTGCTGACCTTGCAGTTAACAGCCCAAGACTGTGTAGTAGCCACTATGCCACAGGGCCCTTTGAGGGCCACGGATACTAGCAGGGTCCCCAACTGAAGCCCCAGAGGGTCAAGGAACTCTCAGTCCAGCAGCGGGAGGGAGCTCCACGGGTCCCTGATGGTGCCAGGGGCTGGGCACTCAGTGGCCTACCGCTAGGCCAGCTGTTCAAATCCACCTAGAAGCACCTCAGAAAGACAGGCCTGCTGATCCACCCCGCCAGCATCAGCCATGAACAACCCCACAGAGGAGAGAGAAATACAGGGCAGGCTTGAATTCCTAAAGAAATGCATTGTGGACCGAGTCAAGGAGTGACCGAGATGATGCCCTAAGACACTCTTTGAACTGCGAATTAGATGCCATGAAGAAAGCTCGTGGGGGGAATTCCATTATCTCTTCGTCCCATTTCCCCACAAAGTTTTGGAAGCCCTCTGGTCCTGCCGAAGGCCCCTTTCAGCCAACAAACAGATTGGTTTCTAAATACACAGTGTCAGCCGTGAGTCATGCGCTCCCTTAGACAACGAAGAGATCCAACGGTCACCACGTGACCCCAAAGCCAAGCTGAGCGGGCAAGGAAAGGACCGGGAAGCGAACCCAAGGTTAGAAAGGTGGCTAGAAGCTGCCCAGGTACAACGGGCACCGGGCAAGGCCTGGCACGGCACACATACCCTCTCCCGTCACAGAACCGTGGGCACACACCTTGTCCGTGGGGAGCCCAGCTGCCCCGTGTGTTTTCCCCTGAAGCACACTAAAAAAATGGTTTGAAATACAAAATGCAACTACAACCGTAGGGAGCAGCTCGCCACTCGGGTGCCCACAGGTTCCCCAGAATGCACCCCCATTCCCTCTACCTGAATGGCTCATTACCATAGAGGTTTTGGGGGTTGTTCGTTTGTTTGTTTCAAAACTTCACCTGGCATTCTGGGTGGTGTAGTAAGACTGTATTGAGTTGTGTCCTCAAGGTCCACCGGGAGAAAGAGGCAGCTTTTGGCTCCCATAGAGTGACCATCTCGGAAACCCACCAGCAGTTCTACCCTGTCCTGTAGGGTCGCATCAACTCGATGGCAGCGTTTGTGGGGCTTGGAGGAAGAGTGACCCGAGCTGAATCCTGACAGGTGAGAAGAAGGCAAGAAAGGTGAAAAGCACTCACCACGGACCTGCCTGATCAGCGAGGAGGGAGCGTTCAGAAAGTAAGGTGTCTGGGTCGGAGGGTGTGCGTGCAAACTGGTGGGCACCTGGAGGGGGCACAGTTAGGTGGTGGCCATAGAAGGATGGAGCAGAGGCTAGAAGGTGAACCAGCCACGAGTGAGTGAGTTCTGTGGTTCCGAATTCCTTGTTGAGTAAGGCCAGGTGAGCAGGACTGACTACAGGATGCAGGGACAAGGGCAAGAGGGGTGGGAGCAGCCAGCTGTCTGACTAGCACAGCTGAAGCACCTGCAAGTGACAGTGGACGGAAGCCACAAGAGAGGACCTTGTCCAGAGAGTGAGGGCTGAGACCACCGCAGGGGAGACACCTGGCATTCTCGGGGTGTGCTGGGGAGGAGCAGTAGGAGCAGGAGAGAGCCAGACCCCATCTCAGTGTCACAGAAGTGACCATCTCAGGTGTGGGCATCCTGGCTTGGTGACATCCCTTGGCGGGCAGGATCTGGATGAGGCTTGCCTCTGTGTCCCCCTCAGCTCAGCCCAGGGCACAACAAAGATGCTCAGGGACTTTGTGGAGGGACAGACAGGTAGCCAGGGGATGAAGGAGCTCAGCACCAGCCCCCACCTGAAGCCACACCTCCACCTGCCCCCACAAGAACTACTTAAGATACCATGGCCACAGTCCTGCCGCCTGAATCCCAACCAGCAGGGCCAACTCACAGCATGGTGGTGGCCCGTGCCCCAAACACCAAGGAACTGTAGGACTAGCAGCCTGTGCTATGCCAAGGTGGTGTCTCCACAGGGCCAAGGGACCAGTCAAGGTCAACCCAGGGCCATGCCCTGAGCTCACCAGGGGACCTCCTTGCCCTGTGACCTTGGACAAGTCCTCTCAAAGGTCCCGGTGAGGGTCCCATCATGCCTGGTTGAGCATTCCAGGGCCAGTAACGTTCGATGTGTTGATGGAGACTCTCCGGCATGCAGTAGATCGGCATGCAGTAGATCAAAGCGCTTTCCCCGGCTGTCAATGTACCTCTTCCCTCTTCCCTTCCTCTGCCTATCACCGCCTCCACGTCAATGACAGGCTTCTGTGGGTGTTCTCCCGAGCCAGCTTGTACACTTAGCGGGCTTCCAGAACGAGCTCCCACAAGTCACCTGATGAAAAGCAAGAGGCCGTACTCCCTGCCGCCTGGGGGTCCAGGCGGGCCTGGCTGACCCCTGGACACCAACCTAAGGGTATTTATTGTCTTGCTCCGCAGTTATCCCAATAACAGGGTGGGCGGCAGGGGCAGGGCAGGGCAGAGCTCTGCCCCCTGGCTTGGCAAAATCAAGATGGCCACCAAGCTGGCCCTCCAAAAGAGGGGTTTTTAACACAGGCACTGGCACAAGCCCACTATCGGGTGCCCATGGTGATCCCCTGAAATCTCACTTCATGCGGCAAAACCTCCTGCGCCTACCATGTCTGTTCAGGTCACAGATCAATGAACAGAACCGCGGGGGCAGGACGTGGGAAGGAGGCAGGAACATTCCGGTGCGCAAGGTGGGAGGTGCTGGGAGTCGCCAGCCAGCACAGATGCTGGTTAAAATTTGGGAGCCCAGTGTCTTCTCCTCTTGGACCCACCCTGTTAAAAGTCACGCCAAGTCTCAAGAGACGGCACCCACAGCTTCATCGCCAGGGCTTCAGTCCTCCAGGAGGCTAGGAGTAAGATGGGCCCAGGTTAGGGAACTCCCTCCCACCTTCCTCAGTGACCTTTCTCCAGCCTTCTGCCACGAAGCCTCAGGTAGCCCCGACTGCAGACTCTTGGCTTATGTGCCACTAGGACCACGTGAATAGTTGAGAGCAAGCACTGTACGCAGTGCCCAAACTCCAAAAACCAAACCTACTACGGTGCCAGAGCAGCGCCAGAGCCGACGATAACCAGCCCTATGGGGCAGGCTGGACCTGCCTCCTGTGAGCTACTCCAAAGGTAAACTCTTCACAAGCGTAGAAAGCCCCACGGTTCTCCCTCGGAGGAGTTTCAAACTGTTGACTGGGATTCTCTAATATCACGCCCCCCCCATCACCAACTCAGGACACCAACAAGCTCAAGTCCAGGAACACTGGCTCTCCAGGAGGGCAATGTACAGAGCTACAGGTGTTTGCTTCCGGAAGATGGAGAAACAGAAATGGAAGCCTCAGGCGTACCAGTTGGATAAATCCTTTTACACCCCAGTGGTCCAGCTCTCCCTCACCAAGCCCTGGGTTGGGGAAGACCCCCCAACTCCACCGAATTCTGAGGCCGCACCCCCTTCCCAGCCCCCCTCCAACCAGAAGAAGGAGCTGGAAAACGTGGAATCAAGTATACATTTTAAAAATTGTTTAATGGAACATAAACTCCTTTAGAAAAACATTCAGCTAGGTGAGAACACCCATAGAAAAAAACACCAATCTTGTGTTTATCTTATTTTTTTTTTAATTTGGCATTTGTTATTTGCATTATATTAAAGCAAAGTGCATCTTTCTTTATTTTCTGGTTTATACACATTGCACAATACATAAATAATGATGCTTATAAAACGTCTTTATATTTACAAGTAATAATATATTTATATATAACATAAAATACATTTTTTCTTTAATAAATCTCAGGGGGGTTCTGTGTTGTTTTCTGGGTTTTTTTTTAAGGAGTCCTTTCTCTCAAAAGCACTACAATGCTAAATTTCCAATGAGAATGCTTCTCTTGTTCATTTAAACCTTTGTAGTTAGAAAAATAGCTTATGTTAAAGTCTAAATCATGCTCATTGAGCTAAGAACAGTGTCAAAGTATCATACGAGTTGTATGAGTTCGTAGAAGAAAGAACAGAACAGTTGGGGGCCAGCCTAGGGTTGTGATGGACCAAATCCTTGGTGGGAAGGAAGGCGGGGCTGCTGAGTGGCCTCCTGCCCCACCCCACTCCACCCCCACCTGCTGGGCTAAGGGTGCTCAGCGCACAGGCTGGGGAGGGGGCAGAGGGGCTGAGCTGGTTTCTGAGTCCAGGACAAACCTGATGTCACCAGGGCAGAGGGGAAGAGAAAGGGGCGCAGGGAGCAATACTGTGGTGGCGGGCAGCCCAGTGGCCTTCGGAAGCCCATCTGAGACACCCAGGAGCAAAGGGCCAAGACAGAAAAAGACACTTCTGGGTCAACTCATGGCAGGAGGCGTGTAATTGGGGGGTGGGAACAATGGGTTCTCGCTCACAGGGGCGGGGCTGCTTCTAAGAAGTCTGAGGATGGGACAGCATGGTGGGGTGGACCAGTGGGCACGTCCTTCCCCAGCAGGGACAGCCTGGCTGCTAGCAGGGACACTCTGCCCACGGAACATGTCCAGAAAGCCAGGGAGACCGGGCTTGGGATGGAAAACTGCTCAGCTTAGGGGGAAGGTGGGGGGGCGTGCGGCACCAGCAATCTGTAAGAAACAAAGAACACTCTCTCTCTCATACACGCTCGCTCGCTCGCCCACCCGTGCGCTCCCGACAAGTGAAATGAGGACTGAACAAGGCTTACCTGGCCCCCCCACCCCCTTGCATCTCAGGGTGTCCCTAACCAGCCTGTCTCCCTCCCCGCCAAACAAACACTCCAGCAATTCTTTTCATAAGCTATTTCTCAAAGGACAAAATGCATCGGAACATCAAGAATGGGGGGGACAGGGGGGAGAAGCGGGGCAGGACCATCACCAGAGTCTGCATGAAAAGCAAGCACTCAAGGAGGGAAATATTAGCAGCAACGTCGTTCGAACCACGGCCTGCTCGGCGCGGCGCGGCCCCGCTCCCCACGGGGGCTACCGGCTGTTGAAGATGACCTCCAGCCAGCAGGGGCAGCTGCTGATGAACTGGCGGGTGTAGCACTGGCCCCAGCCCTTCACGAAACTGATCTGCACCGTGAAGCCGGTCCAGGGCTGCTGCGTGAACTCGTGGTCGTTGGGCCGCTGGAGGCCGGAGGCTTTCTCGTAGTCGAACGCCTTGATGGAGAAACCGGGAGAAACTTTGTGTACCAAGAGAGTCCTGGAGTCGGGGTTGTCCAGTGTGGCCGACTTGATGAACACCGGGTAGCTGCTGCGGTTGTACACCCACACGCCGTCCACCTCCCGGGTGAGCTGGATGCCGTAGCCGATCTTGCTCCGCACTTTCTGCACCAGCTGGCTCTTGTTGTCCGAGTTGAGCTGTCCCAGGCAGAAGCCGTTCCCCTGAGGTAGATCGTAGAAGATGTCCAGGGAGGGCTCCTGGACACAGTAGAGCCGTCCCACGCGCGTCTTCTCTTCCCAGTATGCCACCACGCACCAGTGTGACCGATCCCCAGGCTCCTGGAGAAGTTGGGAATCTGAAAGACAAAACACGGCAGAGGGGCGGTTAGTGGCGAGCGGGAACCACGGCCACTGTTCACAGCCCGCTCAGCGCCCGGCCCCAGACGGGGGAGGAGGTGGTGGTGGTGCCAGACGGTACTGCAGGGCCCGAGGTCAGCCTGCCTGGGACCCTCCACACCAGCACCCAGAGGAGCCCGGGCCCCCTGGGCCACAGGAAGCCCCATTTCTGCAGACAATAGACCAGGGGGGCCCTGGGTCACCTGGCTGGTTCTGGTTTTGGGGCCGGCTAGGGCCTTCAGGGATGGACGGCAAAGACACACGTGACAACTGGCAGCTGCTCGAGCCCCTTGTCCCGGCTGCCGGGGCGCTCGCAAAGCCTGCGAGAGGGGAGGCGGTGAGGTCCCCTGGCTCGAGGTCCGCCTCAACACGGCCTCCTGCATTTGTCAGCCAGTGCTCCTGCGTCAGACGGACCAAGGGTGGAACCCACGGGCGTGTCTGGGGACTAACAAAACCATCTACCCTAACAGAGAAGCTCCAGTCTGTCGGCAGCTGTGCAGCACACACAGGGTGAATTCACGGCAAGATGCCAGATCACGCCGCCGTGTAGGCAACCTCTACGGCTCCCCTCTAGCAGTCTTAAGGTGGACACGGCCACCCTGGCAACCCTGCTCTGCCAGCTTGCCCCCACCCGGGAGCACCCCTCCCTCCCCAGAAGCATCTAGCTTTTGCACAGAGCAATGCTGTCCCTCCTGCCCTCCCCACCGCCTGCCTGCCTGTCTCCCTCCCGGGAAGCCCCACCCTGGCTTTCCCAGACTGCCCTCTTCCTACAGGCGGTGCCAGCGGGGGAGGACTGGGCCCACCGCCTGGCTGGGTCTTTAGGAGGAGGGCCGTGTGCAGCAGTGAGGGGGCCCAGGGGCTGTTGCTGTAGGACCCCTCCGTCAACTGGGCCCCAGTCGGCAGCCAGCTCAGCCTCAGATGTGTTTGTGTGTGTGTGTATGTGTGTATAAATCTCCCCAGCCAGCCCGGCTGCAGGAACGCTGTGGTTTGTGGTGGCAGGGTGGAGACCGGAAGCCTTGTATTTGTTAACAAAAATGGGGAGAAGGCAGGGAAGGAGCCGAGAGCTGCGGGGGCCTCATACCGCCTCCCCTGTAACCCCTCGTCTCGCACTGGGGGCCAGGGACAGGGTGGGGTGATGCTGTTTTTGGGGGGCTTCTTTGTTTACGCAATAACTGGGCCAAGAAGGTTGGTTGCAGTTGGGGGGTGGGCCCCAGGGGCCCCATGTCCTGCTGCCCAAGCAGGCTGGGTAACCCAGTACCACTCACACAAACGCCTTCCCACCGCAGACGTGTTGGAACCTGGAGGCAGGCAGCACCACTAACTTTTCTCTTTATTAAAAATAAGCAGCCAGCCTTGGACTGAGGCGAGTGCCTTCGAGTTGCTTGGTCCGAGTGTGCGCCCCGAGGCTGGGGGGCCTTGCTGACCAGCCAGCACACCCCAGCAGCTGTCTCTGCCCCATCCCCACAGCCAGGCCTCTCAGACGCCCACCCGGGGAACCACCCAGGGAACCACACAAAGGGGAAGCAGCACGGGGAGCCCCTCCCTCCATCCACACCATGCCGAAGACTAACACCAGGAAGTGTGTGTGTGTAAGAGACAGACAGACACGAGTGTGGGATGCACTGTTAGTGGATGTGTGAGTGCGTTTGTATGCCTGCATGTAGGTGTTTGTACACACGGGCACACTCGCACGAGCACATGGCAAACAAGCGCAGGAGCTGGGCTCCAAGCACATGACTCATCAGGCATGAATGTGTCCACGCAGATTACCCATCAACTGCTAATCAACTCGTGAGCCCTGGCAATCTTTGAACTCTTGGCAGAGGGAGTTCAGGTCTGCCGAGTGCACCACAGACCACGGCTCCCCCCTTGGACCTAAGAATGTTCTAGCCTGCAAGCTTAGGCGGGTGGGAAAGGAAGGGGGGTGGGGAGATGGGATGGGGGGCGGTGTTGAACTGACAAAGCAGCCCTGGCTTAGTACCCAAACTCAACAACAACCCTGAGCCGCTGGGAGGGGTGCAAAGGCAGGTTGTGGAGACCCTTGGAGGAGCCTCAGGTGGGACCTGGCAGGACCGGAAGGGAAGAGGGAGGCGGTGGAGGCGGGCTGGGGGCTGGGCAGTCTCGCCACCTCGAGGGGAAGCGTTCGGACGGGTCCCTTTCTCTTTCATCTGTGCAGCCGCCAGTCCACCCGGCAATTTGCTGCCAGACATCTCCTAGGAAAAGCCCTTCTCTGTTGTGGTGAGTGGCCCAGCCCAGATAAACGGCAGCGTGTGGGTGTCCCTGAAAGTCTGCCCAGGGCCCGAATCACCTCCACTAGACCTCTGCCTGCTGGGGCCCTCCCCTGCCCACTTCATGCTGTCCCCACCGCCACCAGGCTGTCCCCACCACCCGTGGACTGGACACTTCGTTTCTAGCACAAAATACAGTCCTGTCTGCAAAACCAGGGCAAAGGTAACGCTTCCTCTGGCTCTCATCATACCTACTGGGGACCCCGTGCGCTGCGGTTGGTACAGAGATCCCCTAGTAGGGCCCACTTCTGGGAACCACCCAGCGTCGTCTTCAGTGAAGCAGTGTTCCCCGAATCGGGCCACAAGGGTCTCCCACAGAGGTCTGCATGGATGCTCAGCCGGCTGGGGGCTTCCCAGGGCTGTGGGAACCAAGACGGAAGAGGCCCGATGACCAGCAGGGCCTGGGGGAGGTGGCAGCTGCTGGGTGGTGCAAACAGCTACCAGTTCTGAAAAACCTAAGGGTTGCAGGTTCAAGTCC